GAAACTTTGTATAGAGACAGACTTTAGTTTTTCTTTGCAAATGCTTGTCATTATTTCTATCTGAAAATACTACTATGATAATAGCATGTCTTTTATATTGCTCATATATCACCGGCAGATGTGATGTTCTTATTTTAGAATAGAAACAAACTTTCAAGTCGAAATTCGAAAATCTGTTTTTCTGACGAAGACTATGGCATTCATTTGAAAAATACCGTAGAATGTGGTTTCTATATATACATATATCTTCGCGTGATTTGTTTAGAAATAGTGGACTAGCATGTCAACATGATTGATATTAGAAAAAATAATAAATAACATCAAAATCAATTTCGTTTGACTTAAAAAGAAAGAAAAAAAAGAAAAATAAGCTCTTGAAATAGTACATGTTGATATTATAGAATATAATATTAATTACATCGGATCTATCTCTAATAGAACTAGATCTTCTTAGGGTGAGTGTAGATAGATGACATTGCAGGGAACACCCACGACCTTCGACTTCGCTTTAATTCGTCATCCCGTATTTTTCCACAATTTCCATAACTTTATAGGATTACGAAAAATGATCGCGTAATAGCATTGACTTTTGCTGTTGTCTACCGTTTGCAATCATTTTCATCGGCCTTAGTTATTAACTCTACTTATATATTGTTCATACGATTGTCTGTTTGAAACGAAGTTACAAAATGTGAAATACTCTTATTGCAAGAATTGAGAATATCTTGCTTTTATTTGATAATGGAACAAAAAAAAAATACAATTGATATACAAGACGTATTATGAAAAATAAACTGTATTCTATTTGATTACATATCTATCTAAAAATAGATAGAATTTAATGTAAATCTCTTTCATTTCCTGGACAAGTATTTTGTAATTCATCTAATGTTTCAAATGTTTGTCCACACCAAATACAATATAAATGTTTATCTCTTAAATAGTTAGTTAATTTTTTTAATTGATTTTCCATATTAAATTGATCATCATTATCATATTGTTCTTCTTCTTCATCATCTACTACTACTTCTTCTTCGTCTTCTTCTTTATCTTGTTTCTTTTTTTTCCATAAAATATTTTCTTCGAGATTTAATTTTTCTTTATCAAGTCTTTCACATATAGATTGACATTTCGCAATATCAATACGAAGACGTTTTAAATAATACTTTTGTTTTAAATGATCTTGATATGTTGATTGAATTTGTTGATTAAATTTATTTTTTCTTTCTTCTTTTATACGAGTTTTTTCTTTCTTTTCATTTTCTTCACCTAGACCTGATCGAGATGAATGAATTTTAACTGAAATTGGTTCGATTAAACCATTTGATTGACTTGCACCTAATTTTGAACCTTCTTTATAACCCATTTTTTTTAATAATTGAAAACCTTTATTATCACTTGTTATAGCTGTTGATAAACCTTGTTCACGTTGTTCTTTTTCAATTACATGACGAGATTTTTCTGTTGGAATTGATGGAGGTGGGGGTGGCACACGACGACGAGGATTTAACAATTGAGGAGCAGATGCTTGAGCAGCAGCAGCTAAGATTTTGTCGGACATATAGTCATCATCGTCATCATCATTATTATCATGAGGTCTTTTAGACATTTTATTTCAAAAATAAAAATTAGACTTACGTTTATCATTACCATCAAAACTAAACGAAAATCATGATTGACTATTATTTCAACCAGTATGCATGTAAAAAGTAATTGCTCCAGATGGCGTTAGAACTTTGTATTTGACAGCTGCAATAAACATGTGTTAATAAGTTACGAGGCAATATTTAACGTTTGTTTTAGCGACGACGCCAGAGTTTTTGATCCTTGTACGCTTTTTTAAATGATATGAATGAAAAAAAAGACTCTATAACCCTACGTTTGTCAGACTACACTTGAAAAACTGTGTTCATTTTGTAACTAGTTGGACACAATTGCTATAATTTAGAGCTAACTCTAATCATCAGTAGAGAGAGTGATTTTCGATAAATAACCAATAGACAGCTAGAAAAAACTCCTATAACTTAGGAAGTTATATACTACGACATCAGCTCTTTGCAACAGCTTTAAGGATACTCCCCCTCCCCACGTTTCCGGAGTTTCTCGAGAACGGCTCATCAGAAAATGTTGAAACTTCCAGGGTAGATAGATCTCGAGGAGTTGAGCAAAAGTTATCATAGACTCAAAGTTCCTAGATGCTGTCTTCTATGAGATATTGTGGTCACAATGGGTCAAAATGATCCCACTGTTCGCCCTTCTTTCTGCGGGATACTACATTCGATCGAGCTGAAAATATTTTTACAGATACTAGACACTATTTGGGGTGGGTATTTTTTTTTGGTTTCCTTATGTTTTTTTTCTTTCGAATAAAAAAGCCAAAATACCGAAGACACCCTATAAAAGCTTGTTTTTTTACTATCACAAATTTTGTAAAAGCTGCCAAGAATTATCGAAGCAATATTTTTTGAAATAAAAAAAAATTACCGACGTCAAATAGTGTCTAATATATGTGGAGAAAGTTTCAGCTCGATACCTCTTACCATGCCGGAGAAATGAGGGCGAAACAGTACTTTTTTTGCAAAAAAATTGATTTTGAGAAAAATGCAAAAAGAAAGTCAAAAATCGATTTTTTTTCCCGATAGAGGCTCTCGACAATCGTGTTTTTCGAGGTCAAACGTCGTCAAAAGAAATTTTTTTTCGCAGATCGATAGAAGACATTTCAAACTATATTTATCAATGAAAAACAAAAAATCAAAAAAAATTTGATTTTCACGTTCGAAAAGGTGGGGGTTGGTGGTATCCTTAAATAGATTCCAAGGAGAGGGCTCAACAATGTATTCTCCAGAACTCCTCTTTTACAAGAACAAACATCTATTTTTGACAGTATAGACATGTATGTAGTACATGGTAGAATAATCACAAAGTCCGGGAAAGCCAGTCTGATCTTCGGAGAGATCATATTATATGTTGGTGTGTGTTCTTCAGAAGTGCAAGCAACACAGAAGAAGCTGTTTGCGCGCTTCATCATCGAAATATATGACTTAGCCTAACATCATTCCACTGGACTTTATTTTAAAAAATTAGTAAGAGTTTAATGTTATTGACCGAAAGAATCAAAATTCATGTGATTCAAAGCGAAAGCAATATATGAATGAATAAATGTTTGAACTTCGTTTTATTCTTTGTGTATCAATCGATCATAAACTAAATATGAAAAATAAGAAAGAAGAAACAAAGTTAAGCCAATGAATGACAGATTTTGTTCAGTCATGATTACTGCAATAAGAATCTAGTTCAACATGTTTCGACTATTGAATATATCATCATCGTATACTCAGGACTTACCTTTATAGCAAATAAAATGTTTGAAAACCGAGTCTTTTATTTATTTCTTCCCATCGAATGATATAACACGAGTAAACATTTTTATATTACAACTCTTTACGATTTCGACCTCTTGTTAAAGAAATGGTTATAATGTCAAAAGTTAAGTCAATCATAGTCCATTGACAAAATCATATTCAAAGTGTTTTTTATTCATTCGTATATTTTCTTATTATACACTGAAGAGAAGAAAAACTATTAAAACTATTAGCATGTTTGACTATCAATCGAGTATTTCATAATCATAACAATATTTTGAGATAACGAGAACTAAAGAAGAAATTCAATTGAAATAATTGAACTGTTCACATGAAAACAAACTATTTTAATTGTCAATTGATGCTGGTGTAGATGACATGAAAAACTCAAGTTGTACTGTTGATGACTCGGTTGAACATTGAAGATGATTAATATGATCTATAAAAGGAAATGTTGATAAAATTTTACCATTGATTAAGACACGTTCAACATAGATATTTTCCACTGAATTATTATGAACAATAATTGTAAGTATACATTGACCATTATTACGACGGACTGTAATACGATCAAAGGCAGGACTGCCAATTAGATATGTAGATGAACCGGCTAGTGGATAGAAACCCATGCTGACATTGTACCATAATCATCATTACCTGGTATACCATTGGGTTGGGTTGTGTAGACATGATCGAGTAACCAACGTGAATGTTGTTGAGCAAGATCAGATCGATTTGCATAATGAAATTGCCAAACAGAAAATAGATTATGTTCATTTCCTGCCCAATAATATGGATTTGGTATTGTTGTTGTTGGCCAATCTCGACTACGAATAAAGAATGTATCAAGTTCTTGTACAAAAAATTTTGCACCACCAAATAAATCGACAAGACGGGGTGTATTATATGGTACAAAGAAACGATAGTGCCATGCATCACCTTCCGTATAACGATAATCGAATAGAATCAAATATTCAATTTCACTGGATGGACAAAGAATACTACCACTACTATTTCGTGGATAGAAAAATTGTTTTGTATTGTCAAATATATTCTCAAACCATTGAGATCGATTATAATACTCTTGAGCTTCGTCAATAAGACCTGCAGCATACATGACATTACCAGTGGCCCAGTCATCATAAGCATAGCTAAGTGTAAGTGACGCTAAATATTCATCCATATCAAAAGCTACATATTGATATTTGATATACGTTAGTGGATCAAAACGACTATCATGTTTTTGTACTGTATTGGCTACATTTCGTAATGCTTCTAAAACTTGAGTCATATTAAGATATTGATCATGTTCATGTTTCATAATCAAATCACTCAAAATAATATCAGCATGTGAACCAATCATGCAATTTGTATGCCCATTAGCAAGTGGCCATTTAGGTAAATAACCACCTTGGTCAACAATGAGCATAATCGAATGAACAATATCATTGGCTCGTTTGGAATCATGTAAAATAAGAAACGGGACTTGTGTTCGAAAAATATCTCATATGGATAAATCAGTATAGATATGGTCCATATAATCAGGTTTCGTATGAATTTTACCATCAAAACCTAAATATACACGGTTTGATTCATCCCAAATAGTCGGACTTGACATCGAATGAACAAGAGCTGTATTAAATTTAATTTCAGATTCACGATTCCATTCAGCAGTGGCCTAATAAAAATTAACATATAGTTACGTTTGTCATTGATGATAGAAAATGTGTTTTTCTTTTTTGCATGATCAATAAAACATACCTCGAATCGAGACATTTCATTAAGCCATGTTTGTTGTATAAAATTACGAATAGAATCAAATGATTCTAGTTTTGTTTGCATTTGTAAATTGATGCGTGCTTGTTCAATTGATACAAAGCTAATACCAACATAAACTGTTACTTGTTTTTGATTGACAGGTAGTATGACATAAGCACCTGATGAACATCCATCGGCTGTTGTTTGTCCATGCATCAGACGACCTTCAGTCCAAACGCCGAAATCTGTCCAATTACTAAATGTAATGGCAAAATATGTTGTCACACCGCCAAAAGCACTAGAGAGAAATCCTTTAAAGAAAATTGAACCCGTAATTTCATTCTTGTTTCGATCAACATTCACATGACTCTGTCTGCAATCATCTGGAGGTAGTGCATAACTACTATCAATCAGTATGATACGATATTTTTTGTTGATATTATCGAATGAATATCGATGAATACCGATCTGTTCGGTAGCAGTTAATTCAACTTTGACTTTATGGGTGTCAAGATATACTTGGTAAGAACCAGGCTCGATTTATTCACTTTCATGTTTAAATGTACTTCGATAGCCATGTCTTTTCGCTATCATATGTCGTAAATCATCATCATTGTCAACTTGAATTGGAAAGACGCCAACATTACCATAATCTACAATTCCTGCACCAAACACATGCGTATGCGAAAAAATATTTATGTACGTATCCGAATAACGATAACCGGCATAACGATTAAGTAATGCTGGACTATCTTCTACATCGCTTGTGTCAGGACCGAGACGAACTGTACGATATAGAGTTTATGCACCCAATGGCAAATTTGGTGCACCTAAGAAATTACCACCCGTGCCTATGTATAAATTGAGCGGTGGAAATTTGTCAGTGGTAACTCTTGATATGAGAAGCAATAGCACACACCAACGTTCGATCATGTTTTATGCTTTCATATCGATCATCTCGCATTTAAATCTGATAGAATCATGAGAAAAAAAATCAGCTAATATGTTTTCATGTATTTCAAGGCAAATGTTCTTTTTCCCGAATGAAAAGATTTAAAACAAAAAGAATAATTTTGCTCTCCATGAAATAACATAAATCATTAAATAATGATCATCAATCGTTATTCTTCATTCAAAGACAGAAAGGTAGACTTTCATGAAATCAATGAAGGCTGATACTTTAAATAGGATACCATTATTAAGTATAAAATATGCAACCACATCTTTCAATAAATGTCCGATTGATCTTCAGCGCTTATTGACCATNCCTTCGGTCCAAACGCCAAAATCTGTCCAATTACTAAATGTAATGACAAAATATGTTGTCACACCGCCAAAAGCTCTAGAGAGAAATCCTTTAAAGAAAATTGAACCAGTAATTTCATTCTTGTTTCGATCAACATTCACATGACTCTGTCTGCAACCATCTGGAGGTAGTGCATAACTACTATCAATCAGTATGATACGATGTTTTTTGTTGATATTATCGAATGAATATCGATGAATACCGACCTGTTCGGTAGCAGTTAATTCAACTTTGACTTTATGTGTGTCAAGATATACTTGGTAAGAACCAGGCTCGATTTGTTCACTTTCATGTTTAAATGTACTTCGATAGCCATGCCTTTTCGCTATCATATGTCGTAAATCATCATCATTGTCAACTTGAATTGGAAAGACGCCAACATTACCATAATCTACAATTCCTGCACCAAACACATGCGTATGTGAAAAAATATTTATGTACGTATCCGAATAACGATAACCGGCATAACGATTAAGTAATGCTGGACTATCTTCTATATCGCTTGTGTCAGGACCGAGACGAACTGTACCATATAGAGTTTGTGCACCCAGTGGCAAATTTGGTGCACCTAAGAAGTTACCACCCGTACCTATGTATAAATTGAGCGGTGGAAATTTGTCAGTGGTAACTCTTGATATGAGAAGCAATAGCACACACCAACGTTCGATCATATTTTATGCTTGCATATCGATCGTCTCGCATTTAAATCTGATAGAATCATGAGAAAAAAATCAGCTGATATGTTTTCATGTATTTCAAGGCAAATGTTCTTTTTCCCGAATGAAAAGATTTAAAACAAAAAGAATAATTTTGCTCTCTATGAAATAACATAAATCATTAAATAATGATCATCAATCGTTATTCTTCATTTAAAGACAGAAAGGTAGACTTTCATGAAATCAATGAAGGCTGATACTTTAAATAGAATATCATTATTAAGTATAAAATATGCAACCACATCTTTCAATAAATGTCCGATTGATCTTCAGCGCTTATTGACCATATAAGAAATATTATTTTTCACCTGAAAAGATGAAGCTGACTTTAAAAATATGAAATGATTAATGCGAAGATGTGAATTTTCGAATAATTTGCTACATAGTCGTCAATGATTTCGTTGTACTCAATCTTTGAAATGTTAGAAAAATGTATGCAATACTGATCCATAATTTCTTCTTATTCGTATTACACACATACGCACAGTTATTAGAATATTTAGCAAGTTGAACTGATCATAAAAATTCTTATGAATAATTGTTCTTTTCTGTCACATCACTTTCTGTTTAACGATTTTTTTTTCCATAGCAATCGAGCTCCTCCACCAAAAATAGTTGTTCACTCTGTTGTAAATTATATATCTTGAAGTAACTTAAGAAATTCTTTACATATAATGTATCAGGAATTTTTGTTTTATTATCTCGTGTTTTGCATTTTCTGCAATGTTTCTAAAAATAATAATTCCAGTTGCCCATGGATGGTAAAGAGTTGAAATTAAAAAGCCTCATGCACAATATTCGTTTGAAAGTACCGATACTTGCAATGATCATATAAAGAGTTTATTCTATTTTAGAAAAAATAAAAACAAGCGAATTCGATAGATTTATGTCGACTTATCGGATAGATCTTCGAACTCCGGCCACGATGTGTTCGTATCACTTCCATAATGTTTGTTCCACCATTGAATATCTGCTTCAATATCGTGTGCTGCTATTGCACTTTGAAATGCAGTCGACATTTCAATGAAATGATGATCGTTTTGAATATTGATGGCATTGTAAAAGGCATTGAAAAGTTGTTTGAATTTGTTAAGACGTTCTCTTTCGAACGCATGTGTACGATCTAGTACTCGTTTCATACCATTTTCATAATTTGGTCGCAAATCCTTCATTTCATTAATTAGTTGTTCGTATTTAATTCGAAGAGTTGTCGATTCTCTAGCGTAAGCAGTGACACTCATTTGAGCCTCTGTCTTTTCTTCTTCAGATGCACCCGTATTTGAGTCAATGATTTTCTTCGCTTGTTCAGCTCTCTTTAGTTTTCGACGTTTTTCATGATAGGACTCTTTTGCATCATTAATTCTGGACAAGAGTTTTAGCCATGGTTTTTGAAGATTTTCGAATTCTTTTTCAAATTCTTTAATTTTTTTTATGTGAATAATCGATTTTGCATAATTTTGTTTCTTGAAAGTAATCATTTGGTCAATAATATCATGTTGAATACGCTCAACAATATCCGTATGTGTGTATGCAGCTTGCTCACCGGCTTGAATTGTAGCTAACCATGTCTTTTTATTTGTACCAAATTCTTGCGAATCATTTATTTCCCTTTGCCAGATTTTGGACCAGTTATGAATAGCTGCAATGTAATCACGCTCGATACTTGCACGTTGTTCGAATGCTTTGATGAACAAATCACATGATTCATTACCATTTTGGCAACGAAGAAGTGCTGCTTGATATTGATCGGGATCATAGAAACCTCTATCATGCCAAGGATTGGAAAGAATTTCTTCAGGAGTTGTTTGGGCTTGTAAACGAACACACGCCACTAGAATATAGAACAACAAGCATATTATTCGGAGATTACTTTTGTTTGAAAAATTAAAAAGATGAAACCTACTGCTTATAGATTGTAGACAAATGTCGAAGAAGTATGAATAAGTGCAAATGAGCAAGAGAACCAAGAACGATAACACTTGATGTTTAGAGAACGCAAAAGATTAAATTATATAGCTGTGAAGGAGCTATCAATAGCACTCAGTTCTGTCTTATTTGAATGAAGGCAAGCTTATATAAAATCGCCTACATACATAACACTCCTCTCATGTTTTTTTTTATTGTTTGTCTTTCTTACCTGAGTAAAAGAAAAGTATGGTGAGAGGAGGAGTGAATATGACAGGCTTTTATTCATATCGAGTTTTTCTCTTTCTCGTTCCTTTTTCTAATGCCATCGCTGAATAATAGTGTAATTCATCCAGTAATTGTGAAATGTTGAAGTCTACACATAAGTGGCAAGTTGAAATCATTAGCCATAATACGACAAGTTTGATTCATGAGCTATTGTTTCGCTTGAGCAAGATTTCGTTTCTTTTCTTTTGTTGAGTGAAAGATGTATGCATCGTTCTTTTTGAGCGATTGTACGGTTCTTTTGTTTCTCCCTTATTTTACTATCGAGTCTAATATTTTTCTTTTCAATAGAGGAAATATGGTATGTTGCAAAAAAAAGAAACAAATAATAAAAACAAAAAATCTCAAAATGCTTTTAGCGCATAAAACTATGAAAGAAAGCAAGAAGAAGAGATGGTGGTAGAGAAAAAATCGTATTCAACTTGAATTGATCACGAATTTCATAAGCTTCTTTCTGTGCACAACGAGAATTGTAAATAGATGACTAATCAATATATAGAAGTGTGTTTGTACTTATATGCAACTTATTACTCTTTGCTGAGACATCTGTATACATGAATTTCTAATTTTAACAAATAATTTTCTTTGTTCAAATTTGCACACACTATTTTTCTAGTTTGTTCACTTTTCGTGACGTAATCAATGTTTTTAGCTCATGTACTGTCAAATAATAAAATTCGACGATAGTTGTAATTAGTTTCGATGAATGATTATCGTAAGCATTTTTCATGATTTAGAAAAATGAATTATATGAGGGTGCATTAGAGTTTTTTGATGAATATTTTCAATTTTGTTGTTCGTATCTGACAACTATAGGTACAAGAACATTGGTCGATTGCATATTTTATAATCAGATAAATCCAAAGCATTTTCAGTCATATGAGAAAACATTTCAAATCTTACAGAAAATTCTTTCATCTAACTATTCATCGTTGCCTGTCATCTATTTTAACGTGATAATGATTTAGGAAGATGCTGATCGATGCAAGGAATCTTTTGAGAGTCTCAAACAATTGAATAATAAACTATTTTTTCTATTAAAATAACTATAATTCTGCTTCCTAAAACTCGGTTCTTTTAACAATGGTTTTCATATTAACAAGCAGATCATCTTTTTAAAATCAGTTTTTTAATATTCACTGCTTACAACAGGGATCTAATCTTGTTTTATATCATGAAGAAAGTTTATTTACTTACTATTCGAATTTTTTTACAAATTTAAGATATTGAGAAAAGTATTGCGAAAAACACTTTTTCTTTTTTATAATTGGCAGCTACCAACATTGTTAAAATTGATCTTGAACCTGTAATGTAACGCCGAAATTTTAATGTCATCAAAATGATTATGCATGATCTGAGTAGAATATATATAGTTTATTGAATACTAACTTTTGACAATAGAATTATGTTAATTGTTAGACGAAGGGTTTTTAATTATGTATGTTAATTTTTTTTTAAATAAAAGATACTCAACAATGAAATCCTATTATAAAATATGATTAATGTAGGATCAGTTCGAAAATGATGTTACTCTTCGTTTGTCACTGTTGTATTCCTGTTGTGTTTTGTCATTCTTGCTCATTTTGACAGCGACTATGCTCACACATGATTACATGCACATATGATTGATAGAGAGTTCATTTCAGTCAACCAACAGACTTGTCTTCTCTCATTGATGCTAAGATCTTCAATCCTTTTCATTGAAAACAGAAAGACAATATTTGAGCCACTTGAGCAGCGGAATCAACAAAACATTGTCACGGTCGAATCGAAATGCACATTCTATCGAAAAACAGCCTGGTTGTTACTTCTCAAATGGGTGTAACGAGCAGTTTTCAATAGAGTTTATATCAGTATGTGGAGCACGAAGAGACTAGAACAAGCCTAAAAGCGTACGTTCACATGCCTAGCCATTCTGGCGAAATGACAGCTTTATTTCATTTTGACTTTATGTCAAAGAATGTATGAAAAAGCCACATGATTCAATTTCAACTTGAAATTTTACCTGTAGATAGGTTTCATGAGTATTAAAAAGTTTTGAAAATTTCATCTGAAACGAATATTTTTTTCTCGCGCTATTGAACAATGAAACCACTTGGTTTTCTATGTAGCACATGATCAATTTCAATATTTGATGTCCGAAGCAAAGAATATACTTTTGGTTGAAACTTTCTGAATATTGTAATAAGCAACAAGCATAGCTGCGGGCGAAATTTCAGGTTCAATCTTCATGAATGCGATTTGTTTATGTATGCGTTCCCATGGGATCGCAAGTCAAAAAAAGATCTTAACTCGAGAATCGTTAGGTATGGAGACATACGCCTTTAGGCTTCCTCTACCCACATTCAGGTTTAGAAAGTGATATACATCCTATTGAAAATGATGTATGGTACCTGCGAACGTTTCCATGTAAGTGTCAGCAGGTTTTGACAAAAGGAGCAATACCTGAAAAGAAAAAAGAAAACTGACGTTGCGTTTTTTTAAATAAAATATCTGTCTCGTTGAAATGATTCAAAAAAAATCAGTTGTTTCAATGTGTTGCTTTCCGAAAAGTATCCTAAGTATCTACACCAAGATTTGTCGCAACTTTCGACTCAGTGTAGTGATCGTTCAATAGTACCTTTTATCCTACAATACGATCATTACCTACTGCATATCATTATTTGTGAGTATTTTTCACACCTCTTCTATCTCACTTCTGGTCGGCGCTATATTCGAACATTGACTTCGCAGGTTTTTCATTTCATACCATCATCCAATCCATACTGTTCTATAAGATGATGTTGTGCACTTTACATGGAAAACGACAGAGCCAATAACCCATATGCCAATGAGTGTGGTAAAAATATTCCACCAGAGAGTCACCTTACTCCGTTTTTTGGCCTTTTCCATGTTTCCAGCTATTTTATATTGGCGCACATTTTGTGAGAAGAAGCAAGCAATGAGGCCAAGAAATATTCCAAAAAAGAGTACATTCACAATAGACCAAGCGAAATAAGTGTGAATTTTGTCGATTTCCAACTCATTGTTGATCGTTTGTGTCTGCCGTTGATTTATCTGCGAGTGATGCGCCTTTGGTTGATGCACCTTCGATGGATAAATCTGTGGTTGTTGCTCCTGTAATTGGTATGCCTGCGATGGATAAATCTGTGGTTGATACTGCTGTAGTTGGTACGCCTGCGATGAATACATCTGTGGTTGTTGCTCCTGTAATTGGTATGCCTTCGATGGATCAATCCGTGGTTGATACT